CAGATTGGTGGAGAATGTCTTGCATATGATTCTATAAAGAACCTTTTTGAAAAGGGTTCTATCTAGCACCAAAAAGGGTTCTGCTATTCTTACAAGCTTGACATCTAAACAATAGCAGAACCGTTTTTGGTTGTTTAAAAAAAAAAATAAATAATCTACAACACATTGACCATCAATCTAAAGAACCATTTCACTATACAAAGAACCACTTGAGCATACGTATATACTAGGTTCTAGTTTTCTGCTAACAGAAATTAGAATTGAATGGAATTCATTCTAGAACTGTCATGTGTTGGTTCTTGAGTCCTGTTGACCATTGACAGGACTTGAGAACCATACAGAGTTCTACTGACAGAAATAGAAGTCTAAAACTAAACCCAGAGATCTTCTTTCGGTTGGTTCTAGAGTCCCTTTGGCAGGCAACAGAACTCTAGAAGCAGCTGGAGTTCTAGAGCGCTCCACTATGTGGGCTACGGACTCTTCATTTGAGTAGAAACAGAGATTTGAGAGGTGAGCTGACTAATAAAAATGATTTGTACGGTTTAAAGTGACCCAGCAAACACCAGCGTTCTAGCACTGTTAACCGGCTTCATATTGTTCTAGAATAAGATCTAAGAACCAAATGAACTTGTGTGCATTAAGGCCAGATTGATACATACACTCTTTAAAAAGATGATTCTTCAGTAAAGACAATGGTTCGAATGCTTAAATGGTTCTTTGCACGGTGAAATCGTTTTTCAGATTGATAGAGAATGTCTTGTATATGGTTCTATATAGAACCTTTTTTTGAAAATAGTTGCAGGTGGCACCAAAAAGGGTTACAAGCTTGACATTGTGACAGTAGCAGAACCTTTTTTGGTGCTATACAGAACCATTTTCAAAACCATTTTTTGTATAGAACCATATACACATCAATTTGAATAACCTTTTTACTATGCAAAGAACCATTTAAGCATGCAAATTATTCTGTATAGAATATAGCTCTAAGAAGAACCACTGACTTTACTAAAGAACTCTTCAAGAACCTTCTTTTTAAGGGGGTGGGACAGAACTCTGGAGCCACCTCTCCGTCCTAGAACTCCCTTAGGTTCTAGTGTTCTGCAAACAAATTACAACCAAATGGAATTTGTTCTAGAAGTAGAGTGGGTTGGTTCTGGAGATCTGCTGACAGTCAGCAGGACTTTCGAAAAGGTTCTATAGAGAACCATATATAACACATTCTGCATCAATCTGACAAACCATTTCACCATGACAAAAAAACATTCAAGCTTGCAAATGTTTCTTTGAGTGTTCATGGTTCTATATAGAACCACTGTTTTTACTAAAGAACTTTTTAAAGAGTGTATGTATCAATCAGGCCGTAATGCACACTAGTTCATTTGGTTCTTAGTTCTTATTCTGGAATAATATGAAGCCAGTTAACAGTGCTTTCAAAAAGGTTCTATAGAGAACCATATATAACACATTCTCCATCAACCTGAAGAATGATTTCACCATGCAAAGAACCATATAAGCATGTAAATGCAAATCTGCTCTCTAGTGTTTGTTGGCTCTACAGCACTTTTATTACAGTCTCCGTTTTTGGCTAATATGCTGAAATGTTACGAGGGCGGTGACCACAGACACAAAATCAGAACCGATTGGTCAGTGTTGAAGGCTGCTGGACAGCAGTGAATGGTGAATGACATCACAAGGCCACCTGTGTCCCAACACCTGTCCAGCACAGGTGCTGATCTAAAGGTCAGCAGGAGAATCTGAGTGTTTGAGAACGCAAAATGATTCATACAGTGACCCCCACAGTTCTCTGACCGTCTCACACATCCACACAGAGCGATATTTAGAAGGTCAGGTCTCACGCTCCTCACTGAGACTGACCTTTTCACTAAATCTCCATGGAACGGCTCTGAAAACTGACATTTCTGCCTCCTGATGGATTCATTAAACCATCTCTTTGTTTCTTCACTCACTGTCCATCTTATCAGCTCCACTGACCATATAGTTTCACTTTGTAGTTCTACAGTTACAGACTGTAGTCCATCTGTTTCTCTGAATACTTTGTTACCCTGTTCTTCAATGGTCAGGACCCCCACAAGACCCCTACAGAGCAGGTACTATTTGGGCGGTTGGTCATTGTCGCTGCTGGACTGAGAACCAAAAATATCCAGCCAGCAGCATCCTGTGGGCAGCGTCCTGTGGGCAGCGTCCTGTGGGCAGCGTCCTGTGGGCAGCGTCCTGTGGGCACTGATGAAGGACTAGAGGATGACCAACACAAACTGTGCAGCACCAGATGAGCTACCGTCTCTGACTTTATATCTACAAGGTGGATCAGCTAGGTAGGAGTGTCTAATAGAGTGGACAGTGAGTGGACACAGTGTTTAAAAACCCCAGGTCCTTCTATTGTTACAGGCCTGACATCGTAACAATAGAAGAACCCGTTTTGGTGCTATATAGAACCCTTTTCAAAAAGGTGGTTCTATTTAGATCCATTTACAGCACATTCTCCATCAGTCTGAAGAACAATTTTATAGTTCTGCCTAAAACAGTAAAACATCAGAGATCAGTATTTTGTTTATTTAATTTCTAGTCAAAACAGCCACTAATTTTTAGGGGAAGATTAGATATAAAATCATCCACTTCCATACTGAAGGAGAAAGTCAGAGTGAAAAAAATGATACAGAGAAAATGGGGCTCCTAACAACCACCTGGAAAACCTGGCAGACACCAACACTGTCCCATCAGATAAACAGCACTTTAAGTTTTCATCTTTGAGAGAGAGGAGAAAATCAAGCTGCTCCAGATCTGAAAACATCCACAGGTGTTTCTGTCCATCCTTCCACTGTGAGAAGATGACTCAGCGATGTGGGTCTGAAAGGATGTGTAGCTGTCAAGAAGAACCTCACTGAGAAAAGGAGACACATCAAACAAAGAAGCTGAACAATGGACCGACCACCCCAGAGTCCAGACCTGTTAAATATGTTTATCGTTTTTTTCTGTCTCTGAAAGATGGCTGTTTCCACTGGAAAATAAATAAATGAAGGGAGCCGTCTGACACCCTGAGACTGTTACACATTGTGCTCTCTCTCTCTCTCTCTCTCTCTCTCATTTCCACACTTTCCTTCCTCCTCTGAGTTGTTTAGTGTTTTTTTCTTTCAGAATGAACACTGACTCAGTCTCTCTATTCTGCATCTCTCTTCACGTCTAAACACACTCTGATTCAGCTCGCACACACACACACACTTTGAGTGTGTTCCGCCTCTAAAGCATTCCAGCACACACACACACACACACACACACACACACACACACACACACTATAATTCTCAAGAAAATTGACCTGGCGAGGACACACCTCAACAACGTACACACACACACACACACACACACACACACACACACACACACACACACAGACAATGTACACACACACATGCTGATGCACTGATTATGAAGATAACAGAACAGGTTTGAGTGATTTGTATCTGAATGCATGTGTGTGTGTACAAGTCAAAGTGTGCTTAAAAGTCACAGCATGAGTCCACAAAAGATAAGAGAGAAAGCACAAAAGCGAGAGAGAATGTGAGAGAGAGAAAGACAGAGATAGAGAGAGAGAGAGAGAGAGAGAGAGAGAGAGAGAGAGAGAGAGAGATATATTTCAAGCATATTTGCTATTTTACTACAAGTAAAGAATACTGTTACTTACGGTCTGTGTTCTAATCCAGTGCGATCTCTGTGTGCATGTCTGCGTTTTGTGTTTAAAGAATTGTATCCCCTTCCTCCCTCTGCCCCACTTATCCGCCCATTCTTCTGTTACCTCCCTCCATCCAGGAACAAACCATTTTCACCCAACGCTCCTCACATTACTCTCTCTATCTCTACCCCCTCTCTCTCTCTCTCTCTCTCTCTCAAGACAGAGGAGTCACTGAGGTGGAGTCCACACGTCCATGCTTCAACACAATATGGGTAACCCAGTTTAAAAAGACATAAAGCCAGGCCAAACATCCACCTAACATTCAGGACAAACATCCACCTAACATTTAGGCCAACATCTACCTAACGTTCCAGCCAAACATCAACCTAACATTCAGGCCAAACATCCACCTAATATTCAGGACATCCACCTAACATTCAGGCAAAACATCCACCTAACATTCAGGACATCCACCTAACGTTCCAGCCAAACATCCACCTAACATTCAGCTCAAACATCCACCTAATATTCAGGACATCCACCAAACATTCAGGCCAAACATCCACCTAACATTCAGGACATCAACCTAACATTCAGGCCAAACATCAACCTAACATTCAGCTCAACCATCCACCAAACATTCAGGACATCCACCCAACATTCAGGCCAGACATCCACCAAACATTCAGGCCAAACATTCACCTAACATTTAGGCCAACATCCACCTAATGTTCCAGCCAAACATCACCCTAACATTCAGGACAAACATCCACCTAACATTCAGCTCAAACATCCACCTAACATTCAGCTCAAACATCCACTAAACATTCAGGCCAAACATCCACCAAGCATTCAGGCCAAAAATCCAGCTAACATTCAGGACATCCACCTAACATTCAGGACATCCACCCAACATTCAAGCCAAACATCCACCTAACATTCAGGACATCAACCCAACATTCAGGCAAAACATCCACCAAACATTCAAGCCAAACATCAACCTAACATTCAGCTCAAATATCTACCAAACATTCAGGCCAAACATCCACCTATCGTTCCAGCCAAACATCCACCTAAGATTCAGGCCAACATCCACCTAACATTCAGGCCAAACATCCACCTAACATTCAGGCCAACATCCACCTAACATTCAGGCCAAACATCCACCTAACATTCAGGCCAAACATCCACCTAACATTCAGGCCAACATCCACCTAACATTCAGCTCAAACATCCACCTAACATTCAGACATCCAAACATCCTGTAGCTACAGAAGGAAAAAAGCAGGAGAGATTTGAAACCAACACTGACCTTATGGACAGTGGAACCTAGATCCATACACAGAGCATTGACGTTCTTGCTGGAACTGTGTCCCGTAAACTGTGTACACTGATACCTGTACAACACAAATACAGAGACAATAAGTTATAATAGACCACAATAAATACAGTTCAACCTTAACCCCGTTAATTTTGTAAGTCTGCCCTAAAATAGTACAAACACTTCATGTAGTCAGTCAAGTCAAACCTGCTAGAACTTTTTGGTTCTAAAAGCATTCTCAGAATATTATGCATGTTCTATGAAAGTTTTCAGCAGGAAGTTTTTCTTCTTGTTCCCACAATGTTCTTCTAGGTAAGTTTATAACTTTCTCTCAAAAAAAATCATCATGTAACATAATCCGTGGCCCTGACAACATCCGTAAAACATTCTCTGATCTTCAGTTAAAATGTTAAAACGTCTTAGTTAACATTTAACTTTTTAGAAACAATGATAAACATCCTTAAAACGTTCTTGGAACATTAGATTAAAAGGGTTTCTTTAAAACGTTATTAGAACTTGTAGATAACGTTAGCCAAAACTGCCTGCTAGCTGGGAAATACAATGTTTGATGATGATGAAGTAAAAGAGACATTAAAATCTCATAAACATTTCAAAATCAACCTCTACCCTTCAGAGTTTTCTACAAAATGATATTATATTATTACAGAACAAGAAAACAAGTAACTGTAAACAAGTTAACAAGAAACTGGTACTGTTGGTGACATTATCCAAATAAAATGAATGCAAAAATTAAATAAAAAGATCATTAAAAAGAGCAGATTTCAATCAAAATAATGCAATACTGAGTGAACGATCACAACCAGACAGCATGTGTAACCCGAATCTGTTCCTGTACCTGTCTGAGACCACCAGAGAAAACTAAAGCACTTTTAATCCTGCTCTCTGATTTCTGAGAAGCACTTAACTGCTACACTGTCTGTTCTCATGACCTGAGCCCAAAGACTCGCTTTAATGGGAGCACAAACACTGCATGTGACCGAGAGACTGATTTCACTTGTGTAACACTTCAACAAGAAAAAGGAGCACTGAATCTCATGATGTGTGAAAGATGGCATTAATTAGTCTTTCATTTTTTATGCCTTTCATCTCTCTCTATATGAGCCAGCTCATTAAATCATTCAATCAATTTTAATATTTACTACTATGGTACGTAGTACAAAGTTTATTATTATGCAGCACATCCCCAAAAACGCAACAGGAGAACACAAAAACATTGGGCCTCATTCTCCAATATCCTCCTATGTAGCTCTAAACGTGTTCTTGAGAAAGATCCTAAGAAAAATTCTGTGTCAGATTCATGACGTGTTCTTAAAGCGCAGAACTGTTCTCACTTTTGTGCTCTTGAGTACATGTAGATTCTCTTCTCTGTTAGAAATAAAGGTTCTGTGCAGGTACATTTTTTCGTTCATCAAGGTACAAACAATATAAAATGTTCCCTCAAAGTTACAACAGTCATTTTAAGGTCCAGTTGTGAACCTTAAATAAGTTTTTCCCAGGTGAAAAGTACAGATTTGTACCTTTTCATAACCAAATGTTTTAAAACAGAACAATAAAATAAAAGCCTGGAGACGAGATGGGGTGTGTGGAGTCAATACAACTTAGAAAGTATCATTTCAATGGAATATGGGACAGTTATGTTCCCTGACTAAAGGTACTGAGATGTACCTTTGAGAGTCCCACCCCAGTGACAAGAGGGGAACTGCCCCAGTGACAGTTTAATACCTTTTTTTCTGAGAGTGTACTAAAAACTAATCCCAAATAAGAAGACATTGGTGAATGTCAGAATCTTCGTAAAAACTGCGGAAGTGGGTTTTAAGAAGAAATCTCTTCTTAAGAATGGTTGGTGAATGAGGACCATTCTTAACTATCAATATAAAATAACAGAACAAGATTTTATTCCAAGTCATTGTGGGCCGTTTCCATTGGTCTGTTTGTCATGAAATGTTCATACAGTATAAAAAGCAACTGGCATTTTCAAATTATGTAAAAAAAAATTGTAATTATTAAAATGGATAGATAGGAGGTTTCACTCTGACAGTGACAGTATGCTACTGTTCAAAAGTTTAGAATCACTGTTTTTAATAATATAAAAGCAATTTTGTTGTAGATACATGTATAAAATGACTGATATCATGAGACTGGGTTTAATGAAACAATTTATAGGAAACTGTAAAAATGAAGGAATAAAGTTATAATATTTCAAGATAAAAACTCATACAGTATAATATTTCAAGAATAAATTCATTATATTTTGAGAAAAAAGTTGTAATTTTTGAGATTAAAAGCAGTACAGTATGATATTTCAAGAATAACGGCATAATATTTTGAGAAGAAAGTTGTAATATTTAAAGAATACAGTCGTACGGTATGATATTGAAAATAAAGTCATAATATTTTGAGAAAAAGAAGTCGTATGGTTTGATATTTCGAGAATAAAGTCGCGATATTTGAGAATAAAGTCGTACAGTACGATATTTGAGAATAAAGTCGTACAGTACGATATTTTGAGAATAAAGTTATATGGTATGATATTTCGAGAATAAAGTTGTAATATTTTGAGACAAAAAATGATATGGTATCATATTTCGAGAATAAAATCATAATATTTTGAGGATAAAGTCGTAATATTTAGAGATAAAAAGTTGTACGGTATAATATTTTGAAAATAAAGTCGTAATAATTTGAGATAAAAAAACGTACAGTATAAAATTTTAAGAATAAAGTCATAATATTTTGAGAAAAAAGTCATATGGTATGATATTTCGAGAATAAAGTCATAAAACTTCGAGAAAAAAAGTCATACTATTGGTAGTTAGCCTTTGAAGAGGGTGTGTAGTTTCACAGGAGACAATGAGAATAATAATCAAAATGATCGATCCTGAAGGAGATCCTCAAAATATTGCAAGTTTATTTTTCTAACTTTACAATTTTATTCTATTTATTCAGACTTCATTCTCAAAATATTATGAATTTGTTCTCAAAATGTCATACCGTTTGATTTTTTTATCTCGAAATATTACAACTTTATTCTCGAAGTGTATTATTACAGTGTCCCTAAAATGCTGTCGTGTGATTCAATGTGCTTTACATAAATAAAAGCAAAAAGCACATCAAAAGACAAAAAAGGAAAAGAAATATTTACGATGCCTCATTTTCTGAAAGTGGTGATCAAATCTGTCTGATCAAATAGCTATTTACAGTAATTTGGTGACAAGAAATTACCACGAATAAATCATGGCAGTTTATTATTTAATAACTTTTACTTTTTCGGTCATATTGTCTTTTTGTTCCCAAAACACACTGTAAATGAAACAGTATGTGTACAGTACAAGTGTTTGAACAGTAGTGTATATATACCCACACTGTAACTGCATACTGTGTATTATATAAGCTGCAGTGTGTGCTGTATGTTTACCTCTGTAGCATGTAGAACAGGGCCTTCGCCGCAGTGATGATCTCCACCACCGCCTGCAGTACCGCAGTGGGCAGCTGGGTGGTGCTCTGTCCGTCATACGTGTTTATCCGCCAGCGGCTCTGAACATTCATCTGCAGAGAGTGAGCCACTGCTCTCAACTTCTCTGTTACACTGCGCAGAGTCTCCCCACACACACTGTACGTCTGCAAACACACACACACACACATAAACATACACATACACATAAACACACTCTGTACGTCTGCAAACACACACAGACACACACACACAGACATACACATAAACACACACTGTACACCTGCAAACACACACACACACAAACACACACATAAACACACACACTCACACACACTGTACATCTGCAAACACACACACAAACATACACAAACACACACACACACACACACACACACACTGTACACCTGCAAACAGACACTCACACACACACACACACACACACTCACACACACTGTACATCTGCAAACACACACACACAAACATACACATAAACACACACACACACACACACACACACACTGTACACCTGCAAACAGACACTCACACACACACACATAAACACACACTCACACACACTGTACATCTGCAAACACACACACACAAACATACACATAAACACACACTGTACATCTGCAAAACACACACACATAAACATACACATAAACATACACTGTACACACATACAGTACATCTGCAAACACATCACACACACTCATATAAACAACATATACACACACACACACACTTATAAACACATACATACACACACACACACAAACACATAAATATACATAAACACACACACACACAGTGTACATTTGCAAACACATATACACACATAAACACATCCAAAAACACACTCAAATAAACATATACAAAAAACACACACTGTACGTCTACAAAGACACACACAAAACACAGATCTCGACGTCTGATCATTTCATAGAATGATGTGCATTGTCTCCAGCAGGCCGTACCAGACTGCAGAGCTTCTCCACCGCCTCCAGGATCAGCTCCTGATGGCCAATCTTCTGCACTCCAAGCTTGTCCAGCTGCTGAGACGTCAACTGTAGCAGGTCTGTTCCACGCAGCTTCCACTTCTCAAACGTGTACTGATGAAGGGACGAATCCAAACCTAAACGCAAACACTAGTCTGATTTTACACTGTATCAGGACATGGGGTCATACATCTGTCCTATATGAGTTACATGTATGCAAATGTCTATACATAATAATAACCAAACCCCCCAAATCCACTATTTATATGTAAAGTGTTATATAATTATATGATTACAATAATTATTGATAAGATTTGTGATAGTATAAATAAATACTATAGTATAAATAGTATAACATTTGAAGTATGGCTTTAACGTTTCCAGGGCAGACATCATAACCCAATCAGCTGACACCCAAAAAATCCTGATGCAGATGTGTGAGCTGCTGCAAATTCCTGGCAGCACAGCATCATCAAAACAGCAACAGAAAACAACAAGAGGACGATGAGCGCGCCATCACAGCATCAGCGCTAAAGAAGAAACACGCCCCTTTCGGCTTTGCACAGCCCGCCTTCCTTCTTCAGAAAAGCTGTGAAAGAATGAAAGGAAGGCGTTCTTTGTGTTGCACAGCCAGCGGGGCTAAAACGTGACCTACTACCCCACTGCACACACACGGCAATACAGCCGCACAGGAAGCGTGAGTGGTGAGGAACAAATTCCCAGCTGTGTTCAACAGGCTGAGGTATGCAAAACAATGTAAATCACGGTCACTAACAGCACTGAGCTGAGATCATCAGCATTCGCTAATATAGATTAAACAGCCAATATGCAAGACGGTCTATTAAGCAAATTGAATTAATCCCAATTAAACCTAACATCTTGTTGGCAAGGTCCCCTTAAAGTCATTAAAACACGCATCCAGAGTACAGTAACATGCAGGACTGCCATATATATACATATCTCCATTTTTGTCGTTTTTCAGTTTTTGACATAATGTGAAAATGACTGTTGTCCTTTACATTGTGTGCAAATTTCATGATGAATGGACCATAGGAAACAGCCCAAAATGACTTGGAAAAATGTCTGGTTCCATTGACTTACATTAAAAGTGAAGTAGGTTTTTTCCTTCTCCTGCAAAGTTATCATTTTGGAGATATGAAGTTTTTAGCTGACAACAGCGATTATATATATGTGTGTGTGTGTGTGTATATATATATATATATATATATTTACACACACACCCGCACATGTATATACACAGCACTTTCTATACTCGTGGCTGTACAGACAGCTGATAAAGCTTAACAGTCACAGAAGAAACTATGAATATTAATTTAATATCATATAAGACAACAACACAGATCAGACTAAAGAGATAAACACCAAAGAGACGTAGAGATTTAATGAAGCGCTGAGTTAAAGAGCTGTGTTTTCAGATGTTTATTAAAAGTGAGCTCTGAGCTTGACTGTCCAATAAAAGCACAGTGTAGAAGCAGAATAACAGAAAGATTCTCTCCACGTTTTCTGTATTTTACGGAAGGTGTTTGCAGAAGGTCAGTATGTGCAGATCTAAGATCATAAATAGACAGACATTCAGAAGCTTTAAGATCATTTAGAGCTTTAAAAAACAGCAGCAGAGCTTTGAAATCTCTCCTAAAAGATCCAGGCAGTCGGTGCAAAGGGGGGTGATATGATCTCTCTGTGTTGGTGTTGTGAGGATCTGTGCTGCTGCATTCTGTAAGAGTTGTAGAGGATGGATTGTTTTCTCCAGTAAGAAGATCATTACAGTGATCAACTCTGCTGGAACAAACGCATCAACAAGGTTCTCTGCGTCGCTCTGAGATGGAAAAGGCCGAACTTCAGCGACATTTCTCACATGATAAAAGGTACTTTAGTGACTACGGGATAAAACAGAGCTCAGAGTCTAGGATCACACTCCTGTAAATAACTGCAATTAATAAATTAATTGTCTTGTTCATTCTATGTATTTAATAGAACCCGAAGCAAAATACATAGTTGACTTCTAGGCTTCATAACTTCAGAACGGTTACAGACTACAGACATGATCCACATATCAAACCATTCAGCAGACCGAACCCAAACTAGATAGTTTGATGCTACTGAGCTGTAATTCAGCATTAGTGAGTAATTCGGCTCAGAAATTCAACCAAAATCCTAAATTTACTGCTTAGCTTTTAACCTTCATATTCCAATAAAGGGTTAAAACAGCGACATGATTCACACTCATATTCACACTCACATTCAGATCACTCACCAGACTCTGCCCTCACCATCCGGAGTGATTTCATCCACCTGTGACCATCAATTAGCCAGCAATCCAGCTCCAAAATCACCCACAACCCACTCACTACTGTTATATTACATCTCTGCTTTTAGCTTTTATATTATAAACAAAGGGTTAAAGTAGCGACATGATTCACACATCAGAACACTCAGAGGAACCTGCCATCACTAGCCAGAGTGAGAGAAACCAGCTCTAACATCACACAGCCAGAAATACAGCACAAACACAGCCATAACCACTGTAAAACCTGCTATTAGCTCTCTGCTTTAGCCTTCATATAGCAACAAAAGCGTTAAAGCACAAGCCAAAAATGGCCTAACTGGTTATTAGCCATTTTGCACATTAGTTATGTTTACTAGGTAGCTAACACTGCAGTACTGTGGAACCATGCACTACACCATTCAACTAGCATACATGCTAAAAATTATAATTATCTACACAGCTAACAAATAAGCAAGTATACCTTGCGCTGTCACCTAAATGTGTTACAGCACTAACTTTCTCGTTTTTTCTTTCGACTGTTCATAAGTTTCATGACGCATCTCAATGAATGCATTTACTTTTTTTTGTTCACATTTATTTCCTCAGTCCTGCACACTCAATTCATATTTTGCTTGTTGTGACTTAATATTATTGTGAAATCTAATGTGGAAAATGATAATTGCGATCACCTCAAGTAATTGTGATCATTTCAAATAACTGTGATTATGTAAGAATTGTGATAGATCTAGTAGTGTGCATTAGAGTTCCTCCCCCAGGGGAGACGTAAACTGGACTAAAACATGTAATGGGGTGCAAGAGGTAACTGGGAGAAAACAGAGGAAACACCTGAGCACCACAAACAATCTGCTGTTTTGTGGACGTAGATTGTAATATAATAAACTGACCGTCCTGAAGTTTATCTTCGACATGTTTTCATTAGACAGAGAAGTCTGAGAACTTTCAGTGAGGCAGCCATCTAAACGTTCACCTCAACATCAGGAGATGTGACTCTGAACCCCAGTGGGAGTTCAATAGGAGGAAATACATGGTGGGATGAGGTGAGTCCCAGTTCCATGGGGAAACTGAGTGAAATCACATTCAAGATTGTTGACCTAAGTGAGACCTAAAACTAGGATATCTAAAGCTACGTTCACATTGCAAGCCTCACTGCTCAAGACCAATTTTTTGCTCAGGTCCAATCTTTCTGGTATGATGGTTCACATTTGTTCAGGTAAGTGACTCAAAATGTCATGAAGGTGAAGGAACCGGTGTCCTGAAATGACCCGCATGCACACATCATAATCAGTTAACTTCACGTAAATGAACTACGTGCATCATTTTCCACAGCTTTTCCACAGGATTTAACTTCTGTTCGGCGCTGCTGCCAGAGTAACACTGAATGATGGCGCACATGCAGTGGAAAAAAAACCTCATAAATTCTGATCTGAGGTTCTCATTAAAGTCGCACGGCCACGAATCGGATACGTGTCCGATCTAGGACCACATATGAAAGAGGCTCAGGTCAGATTTGAAAAGATCAGATTTGTGTGTCTACATAGCTCTAAAAACATCAGACCTAAGTCACATTAGGGCAAAGAATCCAATTTGTGCCACTTTAACATGGTAATATGAATGTAGCCTCAGAGGTTTGAGTCAAGGACAGAATGAAACTCATGAAAAGCTGCGTAATATGTTACATATTACATATAGAATACATAGAATTCAAACATGATGGATGAGCCAAAATGACCTAAAACCGACACAAACAGTGGAACTCGTTTCATTTGGGCCACATTTGCAACGCTGCAATACTGTTGCCATCAAATTACCTGACCATTATATGTCACCTGTTATGGCACCTGTTAAATCAGGCATGTCAAACTGGGCACCTTACAGGCCAAAGTGCTGTGGAGATCAGCGTTTACTCTCATCTAACGCTCTGAATTCAGTTCATGAAGGTCTTGGTAATTAGCTGATGAACTGAATCAAGTGTGCTACCCATCGAGGACTGAAGCCTGACACGTGTTAATCCTATACTGAAGGTTATTATGAAGCACCAAATCATTTGGGTAATTACACATGTATCGTATGGCTATAGTCAATATCAGGGGTGCCCAAACTTTTCGGGGCCGCAAAGACAAAAATGTCATACAAATGAAGAAGACAGGTCAGTTTCAAACCAAGTTAAACATGTATTTTATAACATTACACAACATTTTGTGTTCGTAAATGTTTTAAAAGGAAAATAAGAATTTAATATGTTATAATTTGAACATAAATATGCTTGTTTTCCCATTGAGTGCAGTGGTGGGGTTAGGGTGAGCCAAACTGCAGAGCCAAAATAACATTCTCATGGGCCAAATTTGGCCCACATTCCACATAGTGGGCAGCTTTGGTCCATATAGACTGTGAAAATGTTTATTTAAAGCACGATCCACTTCTACACAGTATAGACCTGTTATATAACGGAGATGATTTTTTTGCACTACAGCATATTTTGTTAACTCACCAAGCTAAACACCACTCACACATCACTAAGCTTCAGACATCACTAACTTGTAGCCATTATAGAAATCCTAAGTGCAAAACAATATATGATGTGTAAAACGCTGTCACAATGTTTGTCCTTTGCAGTACTGACATCATAGAAGGCCTATAAGCCTTTAACCAATCACTTTTTTGTGTGTGCTGATCAATCACAGATTGACCACTTACATGTTTCTGTGGGTCTATATGAATCAAAACATCCAAATGCCTCCCACAAAAAATATAATTTTAGTCAAAAACTATTTTCCCTTACAAAATAAAGGCTAGTCATTAAAGGTGTCATATCAAGGGTTCACCAATTGTCTTTAATGCATATTTTGGGCCTGTAATAGACAGCCTAGATAAAATTTTACTACACACTTTTATAACCTAAGAATAACTCAGACAGTTTGCACTGAAGTCCCTTTAGTTACTGAATAACAAGCCTTAGTATGTAATAAGCCTGAGATATAAAGGGGATAAGTCTACATGAAGATATAGGCCTCTTAAAAGTGGCCAATATGATAAAAATGTAATATCACGATACTTCAAGAGGCTTTCATGATACACAATATGTACAACACAATGTCACAATATATATTTGGACATATATACTGACATAGGACAAATTGGAAAAGACAATGTAGTGCTACATTTAAAAATTACTATCAAAAACACACACACACACATCTTCTAAGCCGCTTATCTTTCTGGGTTGTGGGGAGAGCTGGAGCCTCTCCCAGCAGTCATTGAGTGGAAGGCAGGATACACCCTGGACAGGTACTGTTAAAAACTATGTACTAAATACAATGATTCATATTCAGCCATGTTAATAAGCAGCTTCATAATCCATTAGTAATCCGTCTAATAGCAGAACCAGAATAGAATACGTCCATGTACACACGTCAATCAAAATAGACTAGTCTGATTGAGGCCAATCGGAAAACACAGTTTCTATCTGATTAAAGGTGGGTAATCCTTTATATACTCCGTTAAATAGAAGAATAATATCCGTGTAAACGCCTGTATCTGGTTACATTCCTTGTCGGAAAGTTTAAGTATGTTCTGCATGTGCGTCGCATCTTACCAAAAGTTTATGACGTTCAACATGGCAGGAGCAGAAGGGTCTAGAGAGGAAACTAAGTTTCTGCTCTGAGCTTTAAAAGACGGAGGTGGGACAGGCATTCAGCTTATATGTCTTGGAACACGACATCTTCCTCTCGCCCTTCTATAATAAGTACATGTGAAGTACACTTTCCTGAGTCTGACATCATTTTAAAGTAATTAAAAACACAAGCACTGCTCACTGCTGCTCATCTCACTCTGACTGGACGTGATGCTGGTTGTCATGGTAACGTCTACACTAAGTGGTTCTCTACATATGCGCGCATTTTTTATCGGATTATTTGTAGTGAGCATGTAAACAGAGATTTTTCATCAGATTGTTGAGCAAAGTGAGATATAAACACCTCAGTCTTAATCTATGATTGCATTCAATCCAATTGGCAAAAGTCTTTGCCTGTAAACACAGACACTGTGCTGCACTGAATCCAATAAAACAGGATTAATGATGCAGTCTTTGCAATCAAACATGGAGTTGGGAAGTTTTTTAAGTACCAATGACTTCCACAATATGCTCAGAAAAGCACATTGTGGTATAATTTATTATGACTACAGTTAATATTGTCATATTGCCCAGGCCTAAGGCCACCTGATGTTAGGATGTGTGTACTTAAACACAAGCCAATTTACCATAAATAAAACACCATCTGCTCATAGAATTTCATGTTAAGAACATTATTTGCAATTATAACTGGAGCAGAAAGCACATTTTATCATTTGTTAATCATTATTGTGATATTTGGCCTATGCAATGCTGAAATGCTGAGACCACAATATGCAAATATCCCCTCTAACCATTCGCTCAATGATTTTACTGTGTGCCAATTATGGTGTAGGTGTCTATAAATCAAGACATTCAAATAATCCAACAAATAATTTTGGAAAAAAATAAGGTCAGTCATCAAGGGTTCACCAATGTGGTCTGAAATCAAGGCTTTACAATCAAAGTATTGCAAAAAGATACTTCGACCACCTTATGCAATCCTAAGACTATACGGTTCTGTAAATTCCAAGATTCCCATGAAGACTAAGGGTTTTTTCCAATATCCTGTAATGAAACACAGTGATTTAGTGTTACGCAAGGCGTGCCTGTGTTACTAAAGGCCTTTATGTGCTGCAGTTTAGTGGAACAGGACTGTAAGGTGAAAGAGATTTCTGTAAATCTCTGAATATTTCAGGTTCCCACCACTGCAAAGACGTGGGCTGCGCTTATCCAACAGCCTATTTATAAGCTCAGAGCATTTTCCCATGCCATTAAAATATGCTCAGAATTCATAAACACCACACCATCTCCGGGGTACGATAAAAAAGCATGATCCTCCAATGTGATATGAACATGAATGCCTGATAAATCACAGGAAAGTGCCAGAAGAGCAGAAAGTAGGTCAGAATTATAGTGTATATATTGGGTCAGGCCACATCTGGTCACTTATCTATCAAATTTCAGTTGGATTTCCCTTTAATAATTTGGACCAAGTCTTGTGGACTGAGCCAAAAGCTAATGGAGACTTTCAGAAGCTAGTTTTAAAGGTTAAATCACAGGTTAGCACCAGATGTGAGCAATATCCAGCTTGATTTACTCAGTCCAGTGTACTAAATTGTTTTGATGGATAAAGACCTTTTTTCCATCTACGTTCTTCAGATTTAGTTCCTAGGTTAATTTTTGGGAGGTTTAAATTACTTCTATTGTGTTAGTTTAGCTCCTAGGCTGCTAAAAGGGGAACTCCTTCAACTTTTTCAAATTTCTACATAATTATGTGGTTAAGATGGAAACAGAGCGATTCAGAGTGGTTTGGTGTGAAACGCTTCATTCTAGAGAAACTTACTGAGTCAGAATTGTTCACAGTGGTGGTGATAGGAACCAGACGTCCACCTCTAAAAGCTCCCTCACAGAAAGTTATTACATAAAATGGTTATGAATTCATTGCCTGATGTCTGAGACATTGTTTTGCAATAGTCTTAATATAAAGTTTTGGCTAAAATGTATTTTAATCCATTTATTTTTATCCACTCATCGCGAAGGGGTACATGAAAGGTGTTGAAAGACAAAATAGTGCCCAAAGAAACTTTTTTTTAGATTTATGACTATTTTACCATCACCAACATTCCATATAAAACTCAGAAGACGTGTAGATTCACTGGTGGTTTTAGATAGTAAATAAAATGTCTATATTTGTGTTGTAAACCTGGTGACCCCTGGTTCCTATCACCATCACTGAAAAGTCATCTAAGTCTGTACATTTCTCTGCAGCGGACCATTTCACACCAACCTACTCTGAATGAATCTGTTTACATCTCAAGGACTGAATTATTCAGAAATCTTGAAAAGCTGGTGGAATTCCCCTTTAACTAGAGCTTTAGCGTTTAGAACAAAAGGATGCAGACAGAGAAGAATAACGTTAGGCCTAGCAAACTTGTTAGATATACAAAGATGTTTTTTCAGTTTTGTAAAGATCTCAGCATTTAAGGATTTTTTACTTCAGATTTTTTACTGTAAGTTGGTTTTTGGCATTCAGTCTTTCACTGACGTAACATTTCAGTCAAGGATGGTTTAACTCTTCACTCAAACCATCAAGCTAACAACATAGCTAACAGCAGCACCCACTACCAACAACGTTTTCAAAATGTTCAGTTAAACGCTGTTTAGCCCTTTTTAATCTAAATATAGGTTTTGATGCCACAATTAAACTTCTATTTTGGCGTCTTCCTGAGGAGTCTGTGCTAAGCGAACTGTAAATATCAGTGCTGAACACAGAAAGTGAGAAATGAGCTAACTACAGTACATTAGCCACAAAGCTAACCCAACATTAACACGTAATTTATAAAGAAATGACACACAATAACACATATTACACTGTAAAACTTAAAAAGTCGCCAAAAAGCTTCTAAAAGGTTCGCCAGCTTCTTGTTCGAATTTCCCGTTCCACCTTAAATGGTGCAGCAGTCATATTTGTGCCTGAGGCGCAAGTGTAACTGCTGCACCATTTAAGGTGGAACGGGAAAATTCGCGCAACGAACTGGCGAATCAAAGCTGAGGGAATCTAAACTGTCATGACGAAGATATTAAACGTTATTACAACACAAAAATGCTTTTATTTTTCACTGTAAACTCTTGTCTAACAGTTATAAGTTTCGTCTTCTTCTCCTTTCCAGCTCCAACTTGTAAACACAGCAGCAAACTCCCACTTCCTCATTCCTCCTTTTTTTCCATCCCTCAGGATTCTCTCCCTCGCTTCGCGCTTAGTCTCTCCGTTTGTTTACTTCCTTTTTAACGGCTCTAAAACAGTCCCCGCTTCACCTTATGAGCCCGAACACGCAGCTCATCTGGCGGGGCTCACCTGACCGCTCTTACCTCTGAGCCAGGTGCTCACTCGCGCGCAGCTCCAGCTCGAGACGGAATCCATGGCTGGACACGCGGGGCTCCCACCCCGCCGGACTCACCCTTCACGCGCGAGGAGGGAGGGAGGAAAAGGTGCGCTTAAGGAAAGGAAAGGTGCGCTGGAAAGATGCCACGCCCACACAGACAGGTAACAGAGAAAGCCGAGAGAGCCAATCAGAAGTGGCGAGAAGCGCGAGCAGCACAGGGACGTGTGATTTGCAGTAGTGTTTCGTAACATTCAAAAATCTGCCCTTTAAATGCACCAAACTGAGAAATACCCAGTCAATTAACTCTTACAGTGCCAGATTAGAATTCATTCTCACTGCGCTGTATTAAACTTACAGTGAGGAATTAACACAGTTACAAGAATAGCTTGATCAAAAATGCTGATGTTAATAGTATGATGTCATTTTTATTGTGCTAATTGGTGGCTATTCACTTTCATTCTTTATTAGAATTATTGACTAAGCGATTCTGTCGAGTTAAAGCTACAGTGTTGGATTAACACTTATAGTGCTAGATTACTACTGTGTTGGATTAATTTATAGTGTTAGAAAAACTCTAACAGTGCCGGATTAACTTTTACCGGTGTTTGGATTATCTCTTAAGGTGTTTAAATCAACTCTAACTGTGATAAATTAACTCTAGCAGCGTTGGATTAAATCTGACAGTGTTGGATTAAATCTGACAGTGTTGGATTAACTCTTACAGTGTTTGGATTACTTCTTATCGTGTATAAATCAACTGTAACTGTGATAGATTAACTCAGATTAAATCAGCGTTGGATTAACTCTGACAGTGTTGGAATAACTCTTATCAGTAACAGTGTTGGATTAACTCTTACAGTGTTGGAATAACTCTTATCAGTAACAGTGTTGGATTAACTCTTACAGTGTTGGATTAACTCTAACAGTGCTGAATTAATTTTTACTCTGCTGAATTAGTGCAGTGACACAGTGTTGAATTAACAACATAAACACAGTGTTGGATTAATACTTTCGAGTTTAATTAACTGTTACAGTGCTGAATTCAATTTTGCATTGTTAAATTCAGTCTTACACAATCAAATTAACTTCTACAACTACAGGATTACCTCTTACGTTACTTGTTAACTGCAGTTTTACAATGTTGAATTAACTCGAGCAGTGTTGCATTTACTCTTACAGTGTCAGATTAACTCTTATTGTGTTGCATTGACTCCTACAGTGCTGCCTTTACACTCTTACACTGCTCTTAAACTGTCAGGTTGTCTCTTAAAATGTTGAATTAAGTCTTACAGTGTTGGATTAACTCTTATAGCATTGCACTACACTTACAGTGTTGGATTAACTCATACAGTGATACATTAACTCTTACAATATTGAGTTACCCCTTGGATTACCTCTTACAGTAATGCTTTGACTCTCACAGGGTTGGATTAACTCATATATTGCTGCATTGACTTTTACAGTGTTGGATTAACTCTCAAAGTGTTATATTAATTCTAACAGTGTTGCATTCACTCTCATAGTGTTACTTTACCATGTACAGGGAAGCAAATGCACACTGAAAGAGTTAATTCAACACTGCAACAGTTAATTCAACACTGTAAGAGTTCATTCAACACTGTAAGAGTTAATTTAGCACCATTGATTGTGCTGTGGCCGCGCCCTCTGTTTCAATAGAAAACTGTTACATAGAAACAGGAATGACTCAGCTGAGTGGTGTGATTCCATTCAGAGCAGACTCAGTGTGAGATTCAGCTTGGACTGGAGAGAATAATATAATGTTATTATCACTCTTAGGACACGGCAACTGGATGAGAAACAGATGATTCAGATTCAGAGACTGAGACCTAATCTTTAATGTAGGCATGCATTACATGATTAACACAGCAGGGTGATATTGATTGTTGAACAATCTGTCTCAAACAATAAAATACATCAATGTTTATCAAATGTCTTAAACCAGCAGAAAATGCATTCCAGTCCTCCGATGCACTGATTTAAATGTGTTGAATAGTTGCACACAATTAAAATGTGTTACAGCAACTCAAGTTCTCTTTAAAAACTAAGTAACCTGGAACAGAGCAGCTGTGTTGATGTAACACTTTTTTACATCATGCAAAATATAGCACCATGTTTTTCAGCATAGTGTAGGTCAGTCGTAGTTACTGAATAATTCATTTAGACATTGAATATTTCATACTGGATACTGAATAATTTATAGTAGTTTCTGAAAATTTCAAACTGGATACTAAACCATTTTTAGTAGTTTCTGAATAGTTCATACTGGATACTGAATAATTTATAGTAGTTACTGAATATTTCATACTGGATACTGAATAATATATAGCAGTTACTGAATATTTCATACTGAATACTGAATAATTTGTAGTAGTTACTGAATATTTGATACTGGATACTGACTAATTTATAGTAGTTACTGAACGTTTGATACTGGATACTGAATAATTCATAGTAGTTATTGAATAATTCATACTGAACACTGAATAATTCACAGTAGTTACTGAATAATTCATACTGGATACTGAATAATTCATAGTTGTTACTAAATATTTCACATTGGATACTGAATAATTTATAGTAGTTACTGAATATTTCATACTAGATTCTGAATAATTCAAAGTTGTTACTTAATAATTCATAGTAGATTCTGAATAATTCAAAGTTGTTACTTAATAATTCATACTGGACAATAAATAATTTATGGTACCTACTAAATATTCCATACTCGATACTGAATGATTTATAGTAGTTACTGAATATTTCATACAGAATACTGAATAATTTATTGTAGTTAATGAGTAATTCATTATAGACATTGAATATTTCATTCTGGGGCTGAATAATTTTTGGTACTTACTGATAATTTTATACTGGATACTGAATAATTTATAGCAGTTAATAAGAATAAATCTAACAATATATAAAGAAACCATAAATAAATGTTTTTATCCCTCTTCAAAACCCTAAACTGATGTTTCAGAACAACTTAAGAGAGATGAAAAGTCAGGTCAAGTCTTTGCAGTACAGGCCAAAGCACTGAAATGCAGCTCCTCCTACTGGCTGGTGTACGTTACTATCAGATCTGTTGAACCAAGTTCACAGCCTTTTTTATAGATAATGCAAAGGCCAGTATTGCAATAAGAATAAACAGACTATATCACTGTGCAGCTCCAGGCCAGATCCTGTAGGTCATGACCCTTTCCTTTATACATTTTCATTTGGCTGTCCCTGCGCTGTTCTTGTGTAATGATCCATGCAGAAGTGCCAGTGAGAGTCTGTATATCTAGAACGCTGCTGCTGATAATAAAACTGAAGGAGTGAAGTGTACAGCCTGATTTGCATTTCAGCACAGCTTTAGCTGAAGAGTGTGCTTGTCTCGCACGTCCTTGAACTTTCCAGAAGAGCTGCATGTAGCATAAAACAGCATAAGTGTGTGTTCACTCAGCTGAGCCTGATAACGCTGCTGATAGAGCAGAGCTGGACGACTTGTGAGTGAATGTTTTACTCTTTTTCATATGGTCACTGGTCAACTGTTCACTTGGGCCTTTTCTAACAAAATATATTATATAAGTGGTACCTGGAACCCCACGTTAGCTAGGTCTTTTTTATTCAGAACTTTTAGTGTCATATGATGCCTTCATTGCACCTCACTGGTGAAAGGGACCACTATCTTTCTAATCAAACTACAGATCCACTGGGTTTTATTTTGATGGCTTTAAAGGGCCCATATCATGGAAAATGCTTCTTTTTTAAATATAGAGTTTGATATATCGCTGCTGTCATCTCGACAGTGATAACTTTACAGGAGAAGGAAAAAACATACTTTACTTTTATTGTAAGTCACTTTTTTGGGTCTTTTGCTTCATTCATCATGAACTTTACATGCAATGTTATGTTAACAAAATTATGTTAAAAACTGAAAAAACGCCAAAAATGGAGATACGAGGATTTGTTCTGACAGCAGTGACATGTATGTAAACACTACAAGTTTCACTACTCAGCTCATATATGGAAACTGCACTGTAAAAACAGCCCATTTTAAATTCACTGTTTCTGTGATGTCACAAAAACAACCTATTTACATCTATCCACCTATTCAGCCTACAGAATCTTAGCTCCATCCACTCACACTGAAGTTATAAGGCTAGTTTCAGGGGTCTCCTTTGTCATATTTTTCATTTCATAATACACCAAATGTTATCAGTGGTGACAGGTCTGGACTGCGGGCAGGCTAGTTTAGCACCCGGCCACTTTTACAGGGCAATGCTGTTGTACTACATGCAGGATATGGTTTGACATTGTCTTGCTGAAATAATCAGGTCCTTCCCTGAAAAAGACGTCATCTGGATGGCAGCAAATGTGGCCAAAACATGCATATATCATTCAGCATTAATGGCGCCTTCACAGATGTGCACATCACCCATACCATGTGCATTAATGCACCCCTATACCATCATGGATACTGGCTTTTGAACTGTGCACTGATAACAAGCTGAGTGGTCACAGTTTCCATGATTTCCAAAAAGAATTTCAAATTTTGATTTGTCAGACCACAGGACACTTCTCCACTTCTCCACCCTCAGTCCATTTTAAATGAGCTCAGGCCCAGAGAAGGTGGCAGCATTTCTGGATCCTGTTTATGTACAGTTTCTTCTTTATTTTTTAGAGTTTATGGATGCAGCGACAAACTGTGTTCAAAGACAGTGGTTTTCAGAAGAGTTTCTGAGCCCATGCAGTGATTTCCTCTACAGAATCATGTCTGTTTTTAGTGCCGCCTGAGGGCCCAAAGATCACAGCTAGCAAATACTGTTTTTTGGTCTTGTCCCTTGCATACAGAGATTTCTCCAGATTCTCTGAATCTTTTAATGATATTATGTGCCATAGATGATGAAAAGCAAAAGTTCTTTGCTATTTTATGTTGAGAAACGTTATTCTTGAATTGTAGCACTATTTGCTCGTGCAATCTTTTACAGAGTGTTGAACCCCTCCTCATCTTTACCTCTGTAAGCTTTTTAATACCCAGTCATGTTACTGACCTTTTGTCAATCAACTACCAGGTGTTTTTTTTTTCGCATTACACAACTTTGCCACCCTTTTGTTGCCCCCGTCCTAACACTTTTGGAACGTGTCATTGGCATCAAATTCAAAATGGGCATTTTTTTTCAAAAAACAATAAAATTTCTC